ATATATATATATATATATATATATATATATATATATATATATATATATATATATATATATGTATCTATACTTCATTACTTATTTTTAGTAATAGAGGTAATTAAAATTAATTAAAAAGTCATTAAATTATTATTTTTTAAATTAAGACCTTATTGAAATTTAAATTTGTTTCATTTGATTATTGTGGCATTTAAATTGCTATATTAAAGAAAATGTTTATAAAAACAATTTCATCAGATATATTATATCGCAATATATTTGTGCGAAGCTGCTTCTGGTTGATCGTAAAGCCGTATGTTCGGAAAAGAAGCTCGAGGCGGAGAAAAAGCCAAAGAATTGGAAAATGCATATTTGGAAAATGTAAATGTCTTCAAAAGTGGCTGCTATTTCTAATAACATTAAAATAGCATTAACTTAGAGTTACTCGTTCCTGTATAAACCCTGTCATTATTAAACATTTAATTCTACTTCAATGGGATAAATTCTGTTTGTCCACTTTTTCATCCGTCTGTCTGTCTGTTCTTTCATCTAAAACTGTTCATGTAGAAACCTCCATCCATCCAATGATAAATCTGGGAAATGAATTTGAGGAAATGTTCAATTTGAATGTGTGCCAAACTGGTTAAAGTTAGTTTGCTCTACTTTCTCCACAGGAAATGGGGGCTTCCAGCGGCTCGCATTTCAGCCGTTCTCCTCCCATGACCATTGATGTTCAGCTGAGTGAATTAGGTCATGGTCTTCTGAACCCATCAGAACTGACGCTGGGTCTCGGTGGGAATACCTCTGGCCATCATTCGGATGCAAACGACGAGCCGTTGTTGATCTCCTCGTCTCCTCTTGGTTCCCCCGTGGATGAGGACATGGATGACTTCAAGGTAAAGAAAATAACAGTTTACTTAAAGAAGTCTTCTCATCCTATTGGACATTTTCACATTTTGTCAAATCCACCAACATCAATGTTTTCTGTTAGGGTTAGCTTTATTTCATTGAGCTGTGCAAAGTAGTCTGAGTAGTGGAAGGAATGTTTTCACATATTTTTATTAATTAAAAAATAATCCAGGTATGCAACACTTTCCGTATTTAGATTAACTAGAGATACTTTTTGCTGCAGTCATAGCTGCCAATATTACACATACTGACATACTGTCAGTTTTAAGTCCACACCCAAACATTTAGTTAAAATTGAAATATTTTCTTTAAATGTTTGATGTTGTAAACCCGGTTTTAAACAGGATTGCCCTGTCTTTATCTCCGCCATCCCTGCTTTAAAAAAACAAAAGGAAAATCCCTGCGTTATAATACTGCCACTGCTGTGCTTTCTTTGCACTAGAATCATCATAATCTAAATGAATGGTTGTTTTTTTTATTGTTTGCTTCCTTCCACATGTAGAGAAGCCTCCTGGTGGACTCCCCCGTGTCCCTCTCCTCCTCCCCTACCCTCTCCCACATGTCCTCCAACCCTGCGCCCCCCTGCTCTGCCACCCCAGCGGCACCCAGGAGGGGTAGCGGGAAACCTGCTGCTGTCGCCTCTGCAGCTGAAGCTACGGGAGGAAAGAAGGGACGGAAGAGGAAGGATCCTAACGAGCCACAGAAGCCGGTCTCGGCCTACGCTCTGTTTTTTAGAGACACTCAGTCGGCCATTAAGGGCCAGAACCCCAGCGCCTCCTTTGGGGAGGTGTCAAAGATCGTGGCGTCCATGTGGGACAGTCTGGCGGAGGATCAGAAACAGGTGCAGCATTTTTATTTTTTCTTGATGATCTGGAGTAGTGCTTGGAGGAATTATATCCAGATTTGGGAATGATTGTTTGTTTTCTATAGGTTTACAAAAAGAAAACAGAAGCTGCCAAAAAGGAGTACTTAAAGGCGCTAGCAGCGTACAAAGCCAGCCAGCTGTCACAGGTGACGCCATGCTGTCCTGCAGAGGGAAAACCCCTTACTCTGTTTTTTTTACTCATTCCTCTTTTTTTTAAATTGCCTCCTTGCAGCCAGTTTCCTTGGAGTTGGAGACTTCTTCGCCTGTGGTCAATCTGATCCCATCAGCTCCTTCTGCTGGACAACAAACCATTCTTCTGCCATCAGCAATCGGCAGCGCAGAGGCCAACACTAATATCTGTGCCTCCAACATCATCCTGGACGTCCCTGAGGTGATGACACCCTCCCACTTAGAAAACCAAGCAAATGCTGCAGGTGCCATCCTGGCTCCAGCCCAGACCATCACCAAGATCATAATCCCAAAGCACTTACTGCAGGGCGGGGGTCAGGTGGTCACCCTGTTATCTGGGGGGGTTGGTGCAGCGCAGCCAACCCTTCTGGTCTCGAGCGCCTCCCGTCAGCCGCCGCCTCTTCAGCAGATGCAGAACGCCCCGCCTCCTCCGCGGCTCCAGCAGATGGCGCCCGCTCCGCCTCCTTTACAGGCCAAACCCAGGGAGGGGGCGACGGCGTTCGGTCAACCCGCTATCCTCACGGCCACACCTCCACCGCCGCTCCAGATCAAAATAGTCCCAGCACCCGTCCAGGTTCAGGACCGACTGGCTCCCGCCGTTGTTGTACCCAGTATTGCTGCTGCAGCTACGTCAGGAGGGAGCTCTGCTACGGCTTCAGGCGACGACGACGTCACCGAGGTGCTGGATTCAGATGAGGTAAACTTTTAAATCAATGTTTCTGAACGCTCTCCTGCTGCAGTCCAAATGTTTAAACATCAGGTTCATATTTAGAAACCATGCGCTAGGTCATGACTCATTTCTTTGGATTCGCTCCAACAAACTCAATGTTTTTCAGCTGAATCTGATGTAATGGATCAACACAATACTACAAATGAGAGATGTGTGGTTTGCACATAAATATCTGAAAAGTGTGGCTGAAAATTTTTAATGAAAAACGTTTACAGTTTTATATCAGGACCTGAAGCAGCAGAATTAATCTAGAGCTAAAGGAATTAGATCTAAGGATCAATGTTAGTGACTCAACACCAGCAGACCGTAACCACGCCCACTAACTTTCTCTCATTTTAACACTGTGAGGTTTTCATTACAGCAATTCCAGCAGTTAAAACTGATTAATTAATTTTTTAAAAGGGGATTAATCCACATTAAACCAAATTAGGTTTCCTTGTAGCCTCAAATATTGGCTTCTGGCTGCAACCGACTGAGGCTGAATGGTTTTAAAACTTCAAAACATGACTGTGATATCATTATTATTCAGCATTTTACAAACAAACCCTTATAAACCGTTTTGTAGTTTCATTTACTTTAGTTCAAACTATCCAACACTCAAATCACAGTCGCATTACCATGGCTACTAGGGGTGGGTATTGGCAAAGAAGTCATTAATCGATTCGAATCACGATTCACATGCCAACGATGCGATTCTATCACGATGCATCACGATACTTGAAATATTGCGATGCATTGCGATATTTTCCCTGAACACTGTAAGAAAAAGATACAGCCCTTACCAGTGGCTGACTGGCTGGGTATGATCTGGATAGTGTCTTCAATTGATACATAACTGAAAGCAACTGAATTCATACATAGCTGTATTTATTGAAACAAATTTTGGAGGTGTTGCAATGAAAACAAATACTGGACAGAAATATT